TTCAATAACTGTTAGAAGTTTTGCCTGGTTCTTAGTCGCACAAGTGGCTCTCCGTTGTCGTAATCTTTCTTCTTCTCTGGCAATCTCTTGCAAAATTGGACCAGTGCACGTTCGACATTTCGTGGTTACCTTGTGGAAGGAGTAGGGGAGCAGGAATGAGTTTTCCCATTTCAAAAGTGTACTGTTGGGTTCCATTCTTTTCTAGAATTTTACCTTGACATTTGTAGGGATCTTTTAAGAGACAACTGTTCTTTTTCTCCTAGAAAGTCGAGTATGTTTTATTCATTCATACGGTCGGTTGTCACCGTGAACAGAATCGGAGACGCGTCGATAGAATGAGACGAGCGTTCCCCCTGGCCGAATCAAGAGCTAGAATTCATGAATTGCATTTTTTCAACCTCCCCCCACTCCCCCCCCCCCCTCCTCCCGGTCAATGGGTTGAAAGCGTAAATGCTGATGGAATTTCCCGTGCACTGCAAATGTTTGTGTAGAAAGTTCCACGGGAAAGTGTAGAGTTCCAACAATCTCTGGAATGCTGTGTTTGTCAAGTGTTTACAGCGGTCGACTTCCAGTGCACTGCCTCACGTGACATAATATGAAAAGGGGCGGGGTCGGTAGCGAACCATAAAATTATCTCTGGTCACGCTGTCACACAAAATTTCTGGCACGTTAGTTTACCGCGACTTTTGTTGATTTTAAAAAAAAATGTTTTGGGGTTTTTTTCTTCTTTTAAAGTCAGAACACTTCCATTCTTGGGTGACGAGTAATAGGACATTTAAACCATTTTCTGTCTGAAGCATCTGCGACAGTAAAATCATGACAGCATGATATAATAATGAAAATAGTATGAATAATGAATAGTTTTTGTGTAGCGCACATTCCGCTCAACAGCAGGCTCAATGCTTTCTACACACTTGATTTTTTTTTAAATTCTAAAGTGGGAATCGAACCCACTCTTTTGCTTGCGACGATGAAAATCCTTACCACAATAAAACAACTTTGTCGTCATGGGGGCTCTCTTTTGGTTTGCTTGTCAGTGTCGGTATCAATCAAATGGACTGTATATATTAATATATTCCATTTAATTAGGCCGCAAGCAAAAGAAATGTATGAATTTTTTTTAAAAATCTAAATGTTTTCTATGGGGGAATAACCCTCAAAAATAGAACCCTGCTCCACTAAACAGTGGAAGGGTCAAACGATATGATTTTAAAACTGAGCTAGTGAGCTCTAAGTATACAACATGCAAGTTTAACTGGATCTTGGCATGGTCCGGTTGTTTACAGCTAAACCAATAACCCTAAACCATAGCAAACCCATCTTATCTATAATCAAAATGTATTTTATTGCATGGTGCTCTCCTTTCCACTCAGTGTGGTATTAATTTTATTCTTAATGGTTAAATAGCAGCGAACACATGGGAAAGTTTGTGATACACAAATATTGGGTGACGAAATTATTTGTTACAAATGTGGAATAGCTTTCCAAATACCGGGAGCTAAGAAAAGTTAAATTTACGAAATAAATGCCAATCCATCTCTTTAATCTGTCTTTAACAATTTGGAAAATCCGCCATCGTCTTGCTTGGCCAGTCACGGTTTCACCAGAGCCCTGTTAGCCAACAACATTTGATGATGACCCAAGTTCTCTCAGCGTTTCGCCACAGTGACATAGAGAGGGCTGTCGAAGCTACGCCGTACGACCTTGAACCAAGCTATCCTACCACTTTTTCCTGTCACCGTCTCCTGGGACGTGACATTGGACTGTGGTTTAGGAGGAAAAGTGGCTCTAGAGCAGCCCAGACTTCCATCTCGCATTTGAGGTGTGAACAAAAAAAGAGATTATAAATAGCATTTATAAGCACTTTGGGTTAGAACTATTTCGCGTCTTTTCGACGGCAATAAACAAAAAATAAAGTTATGTCGTTAAAAAAGAAAAAAACTAAAAGAACTTCCCTTGATGTGAACAGAGGACACCCATAGCGTCTGAAAGTGTTGGGGGACGTTGTGGTTTTTTTGTTTGTTTGTGTGTTTGTTTACCAGGATTTACGTGAAACTACCTTCCCAGCCAAACACCTTCTCATATATAATCTTTCAGAATACGAACCTTTCAGCCAATGACCGTTCAAAAACAGTCTGTGGTGGAGTGAACGACCTGGCAAAATGAGCCCCGTTGGAGCTCTTGGGATATGACGGAAAGAAAAAAGTTTCATGAGCCTCAAAAAGAAGAAGCAGTTAAACTTAGCAAAGAGCATTGTATATAGATTTGGATGTGAATAAAGCTGGCAGAAACGTTTTTACTTTGTTAAACTTTGTGCCTCGTGCATACACATGAGAGAAACACTGCATTTGAATTCAGTTTTAGCTTTTTGCCTATGCTTTGCTCAACCCGGTACGTCGTCAACAAATTAGGAATGAATTAGGACAGATAGAGAAGCCTATTCTTGTTTTCTTTTCACACAGTGTATTTAACTACTAGTAGCCCTTCGATGATTACCCCC